TGAGTTTCATTGTAGAACTCATCTGCAGGGAAGGGGGTCATATGGGCCTGGGGAAGAGGCTGCCCCTTCCCAGTCCTCTTATTTGGTCCTATGCTCCTTCAGGTCCCAGCCATACCTAAGTTTGGCTCTCCCACAGTCCTGAGCCATGACAAGAGCTGTCCACAATAGAGGAGCACAAGTAGGGAAGGTCCAGGGCAAGTCCATCTTGTTCCCATGACCAAGAGAACAGCAGAGCCGGGAGAGGCAATGGCCAATCACGAGTCAGCTCCATATTTGTGACATCAGGGGCCAAAGGGTCTACCATGGAATGTTAGAATAGAAAGACTGCCCACCCAGCTTCTTGTGCAACTGCCTCCATTATGCAGATGAGGAGCATTTGAGGTCCAGAAGAGTCAAGTCATGTGACTTGGTGTATGTGGCTCACTAGTGGCAGATCTAAAGGAGAATTTGACGTTTAAGTCAGAACTTATTCTATTTGGTCACTTTTCCCTGGGTTGGAGGAGCCCTGGGCTTTGGCTAGGGACTGATGAGACACCCCTCTTCATAGGCTGGGGTCACTTGTGTGAGTGGGATGTTGGATGGGGAGGGTTGTTGGATGGATAGATGGATACACGGTGGATGGATGGATGAATGAATGAATGAATACATGGGCAGAAGTTACATTTTTTTTTAAAGATTTATTTATTATGTATATAGTGTCCTGCCTGCAAGCCAGAAGAGGGCACCAGATCCCATTATAGATGGCTGTGAGCCACCATGTGGTTGCTGGGAATTGAACTCAGGACCTTTGGAAGAGGAGTCAGTGCTCTTAACCTCTGAGCCATCCCTCCAGCCCCCTAGAAGTTACATTTTTGGGTCTTTAGACTGAAAACCTAGTTGTCTTCCCAGGTTCTTCTAATTTGGCCTCTTAGACTTATATTTTTGGCCTTTTTCTCTCAGAAGACAAGTGATCAACCCCAGGGCTCCTTTCTCTTTCCCCAATATCCGCTTTAGTAGAAGCCGTCAGGACTCTGTGGGGTGTGGAGAAGTGTGGCTGGTCCCCTCCATTCAGGGTCCATGTCCATGAATACCTGAGATTGGTTTCCAAACCAACCGTGAGACTCTGTTCCCTGCTGGCTCTTAGTGACTCCCAAGTACACTGATGCATAGAATTGGGGAGAGCAGCCAAACCATTGCACTTTAGGGTTTCTTTCTTGGATTCACATCCCTGTACCTGCAGACTCCTTATACACCATATGTCTCCTTTACTCTCAGCCCAGCAACCCCCCCACCCCTTTTACATGTGCTGACACCGTGATCACTGAAACTGACCACATAACTCCCCCAAATAATAGCCATTGTTGTCAAAACATTTAAAATCTGAGGAAAGAGGGTTGGACTGGTTAAGCCCTTCTTGCTTCAGGCATAGAGACATTAAAACAGGATTTGGGGCACCAGGCATGATGTTGAATGGCAACACCCCTGTCTAAAAGAAGCATACATTTTTGCATTGTTGAGATGGGGTCTTGCTCTGTAGCCTAAAGCTGGTCTTGAACTAAAAATGTTTCTGCCTTAACTGAGGGAATTCAGGAAGCCAAGGTGTGTATCACCATGCCCAGCAAATGCAAAATGCAGAGCTGAGCTAGAAAAGGAGAAAAGGGACTCTTCAGACAGTAGTCAAAGAACACAATGGAGAAGTGAGTAGGTGCTGGAGCTCCTGGCCATGTTGGGGAGGTCACAGTGCCTCTGCCACAAAGCTGCAACATTGGTACCTGGGTCCAGCAGCCAGTCACCTCCTACAGTATAGATGTGACATCTTTTATAAAGTCAGAAGGCTTGATTTCTTTTTCCTTCCTTCTTTCCTCCCAGCCACGACCCCTTTATAGGAAGGGTCTCTTGGAGCCCAGTCTGGCCTTGGACTTTCCTAGCTGAGGATGGCCTTGAACTCTTGAACCCCCTCCTCTCTCCTGTGCTGCCAATCCTGGTTTATGTGGTGCTGGGGATTACATTCAGAGCTTTGTGAATGCTAGGCAGGCACTCTATGGACTGAGCTACCTCTACAGCTCACATAGATGACTCGGAAGTGAATCTTCTCAGAAGAGAAAATCTAAGGTCAATTGTGGCCAGCCCCACAGAGAACTTTCCAGGTGCTGGACACCGTGAGGGGACTTTCACCATCACAGTCCTTGTAACAAACCCATGAGGTAGGCACTTTGATCAACACCCCATTTTCAGATGGAGACAAGCAGAGGGGCTATGGACCTTGCTCACAGACACACAGCAGCAAATAATGGAAGTTGGACTCAAATCCAAATGTTCTGGTTCCAGAGCTTATGCTCAATGACAGAGACAGTGAAGTGGAGCAGATCCCACCAAGGAAAGACCTTGAAGCTGTCCTCAGATCTCCCCAGGTGTGCTGTGGTAAGCAACCCCAATAAATAAGTGCAATTTAAAATAAAATAAAACCCATGGATGAGTCATGAAAAATATGTGCTGGCCAGGTGGCCTGGTGTGGTGGTTCACACCTATAATTCGGTACTTGGGATGCTGAGGCAGGAGGATCACTACCTCCTCTTTCTCTGCCAACTTTCAGGTGGACTCCACCCCTCCTCACTCACCCGAGGAAGCGTAAACAGGAGTCTGAACACGTGTAATGTTTGAGAATGTTGGCAGATGCATATAACCCCAGTACTCAGGAGGCTGAGGCAGGAGAACTGAGAATCTGAGGTCGGTCTGGATTACATAGCAAGACTCCCGTCTCAAGACATAAAAAGTCCAAAACAACTATAATGTTTCAGAAAGTGTGAGGGAGGGACTAGGATGCCGACTCAGTTGGGAAAGTGCTTGCTGTGTGAGCCTAAGGACCTGAGTTCAAATCCCCAGATCCCCTATAAAAGCTGGGCGCGGCATCACACATCCAATCTGGCAGGAGCAGCAATAGTAGACGCTCTCGGGCTTCCTGGCCAGAAGGTTAGTGGAATTGGCAAGCTCCTGGTTCAGTGAGAAACTTTGTCTCAAAAACTAAAGTGGAGGACTGACGAAAGGACTCAGTGAAGGTGCCAAGCCTGACAAGAGGTCCCACACAGTAGAAGGAAAGAACCAGCTTCTGCTAGGTGTTCTCTGACCTCCATGAGCGCTCCATGGTATCTGCATGTGCACATGCCCTGCTCTCCATACAATAAAAACAAGATGGGCTCTGGCAGGAGGGCATGGTGGGTAAAGCTGGCAAGAGGGCATGGTGGGTAAAGCTGGCAGGAGGGCATGGTGGGTAAAGCTGGCAGGAGGGCATGGTGGGTAAAGCTGGCAGGAGGGCATGGTGGGTAAAGCTGGCAGGAGGGCATGGTGGGTAAAGCTCTTGCTGCGAGAGCCTGACAACCTCGAGTTCCGCCCACAGGTTCCTTCCGAAGGAGAGAACAGACTCCTGTAAGTTGTCTTCTGAGCTCTACACTGGGTGCTTGAGCGTGTGAGTGCACACACTTGCGTGTACACTCGTGTCCAGGAGATAAGACTTTGCCAGGGTAACCACATGGCGAAATTCTTTGCCCTCAGTCTGGTGACCTCACGTTGCCCACAGCCCTGAAAGGCAGCACGAACCTCTGTAGTTTATAAAGATAGGAAAGGAGGTCACGTGACAATGACCTTCGTCTGGCAAACAAATTACAAAACACAGGTCGGGAAGAGGGTGGGGAGGGGAATTAAAGTCTGTGGTATACGGACCGGAACAATCTAGAGGCTGTGTTTATGAGTTTCATTGTCTTGCTGAATTGTAAACGTCCACCCTCCTTCAAATCCAAAATTCCTCAACTCCGTATCCTGCACAGGAGAGGCCTACACACACACACACACACACACACACACACACACACACACACACACACACACACACGTGCTAGAGACTGAGCAGTAAAAACCAGGCTAAGGATATTGGGGGCCAGAAATTGGGGTTGTGAACGTGAACCCTGTGGGGGTGAAAATATCAGCAAAGCTTAGAGACAGTTTGGGCTGAGGGTCCTAACAGAGGTGGGACCAGGCTGGAAGGCAAGATTCTGTCCCAGAAATCTGACCAATTTCCATTTGTTCAAGAGCTAGGCTTGGTAATTAAAAACTTGAAAAGTAGTTGCATTTATGTTAAAGGAGGGGAATATACAAGAATACACTGGTATCCTATTTACGTTGTGTATTGAGTGGGGGGAAAGGCTGGGACCATGCGCCCCAAAGTGTCAACAGTGTTTAAATTTCTTGATGTTTCTATCATGGGCTTTTATTCAGAGTTTTCCAAATTTCCTACGCAAACATGTAGAGAAAAACTATTTTTAAAAAGTTCCTCAAAATGACACCCCTCAAAAATCTAAGTAGGCCTTCCAAAAGATGGCTTAGGGTGAGGGCATGCATTCTGGGACGAGCAGGTGGCCTACAGCAGTGAACACACTTGTGTGGTCACTGGTTATTGCTCTGGTTATTGCTCCTTCTCCTGGGCAGTGCCTGTGTGGTGTGGCTCCATCGGGGAACCCAGGCTGTCCACTCACAAAGCGGACGGCAGAGCTGGTGTGGCGGGAGTCTTAGTGACTGTGAGGTTTCTGCATGTTCAGTGAGCCAGGCCCTTCTAGGGCCCTCCTCCTGTAGCAGAGGGGCATCCAGGACCTTCCTCCTGAGACACCCACACAGGGGTCACCGTGGAACAGGATGTGTGGGAACAGGGTAATCCCTCCATACGCATCCAGATGCGAAGCAGGAGGCAGCCCATGGCATCTGCGTCTTCTCTCTGCTGCTTCTTGGGATGCCCCACCCCGATGGCAACTGCTTGCTGTGGCAGGACCTAGGCCACCTCACCTAGGCTGTTAGGAAGGGACTGGTGGGAAAGGTCGTAGGGGATAGGGGCCACAGCACTGAAGGTTATTTGGGTTCCTGCTTTGAGAGAGACTGAGAAGAGGCGATTGGTAAAGGGGCCTGCTGGACTGTCAGGAGACAGGCAAGCAGCCCGTCTTGCCCCTGACTTTCCCCACAAGGGACAGAGACTCAGGTGTTGGGGAAGACCTTTAATTGTATTCACAGAGACTGGATGGGGAATTCCATGTTAGAAGCTGGGGATCTAGAGAACAGGGGCTAGGACTGGGGGCAGAGAGTGGGTGGGGACAGGGCAGGAGGAGGAAGGCCCAGCTAGAGGGTATTCCACCCACACACCATGTCCCCCATCCAGTTTCTCGTGGGACACTCCGCTGCCGGCTTTGCCAGCAGGGTCACCTCAGGAGTGTCTGAGCTCCACCTCAGACCCAAACTGGGGCCCACGGTGGGGTCGGCGGAGGCCGTGGTGTTGGCGGATGCTGAAGAGCCGATGGGTGAGACCCAAGGTGGCCACAAGCAGGGTGACGCCTAGGAAGAGCAGCACCCACTGGCCCACACGGGCCTGCTGTGGCTCCAGGTACATGCCCAGGAAGTTGACGCGGCCAGACTCTGGAAAGGGGCCTTCTGAACGAGCTGAGCGAGGAAGCAAGGAGACAGGGCTGTGGGCAGGGCGACAGGAAGGCCGGGACCTTGTGTTCTGGTGTCCCTGTCCTTGCTCTGAGGTCAGACTGGAGGCTGTCTGAACTAGGAATGGGGTTCAGCCCTGTGTGAGCTCTGGGAGCTGCGCTTGGGGCTGGAGGTGGGGTGGGTGGTAGTACCCGTTTCTGGTGTCCAGTTGTATTGTGGCCAGCCCAGTGTCTCTTTATGTCTCTTGTTCTCAGTGATGAGCCAGTCTGTCAGTGGCTTGAAGTAGTTCATCATGGCGGAGGCTGACATGTTAGGCTGGCCAGTGATCAGCTTCATGGCTTCTGGCCACGGCTTACTGTAGCCCAGCTTCATGGTATCCCTGGGGGAAGAAGCAGAGGAAGGAAACCTGAGTAGAAACCACATGGATCCTCTTGCCCAGTCTGGCATTCTTTCCCCATACCCCCTTTCCCAGCATAAAGGATCCTCTAGGATTGGGAGAGCCTGAGGAGGGCTGAGGCAGGGATGGAGAGGGGAGGCCTCAGGGCCCAGGGACTCCAGTTTCCTCCTGAAGGTGACATGTCAAGGGTGGAACAGATTCTTCTTGGCTGTTCTCTGCCCAAGAAACCAAACAGAAAATGCTCCCAGAATAGCTCAGTGGTTTCTCAGGGCCAAAGAGTCGAAGGAGGGTTCAAGGACACTCACGCCAGGAGCTTTCCTGCTTCTTTGGATTGGTAGATATCACACTTGTGCAGGGGACCTGTGTGCCCAGCTGCACGGCACAGTGCCTCGTGGAACTGGAACTGGATGATGAAGCTGATGAAGTACCTGGAGTGGAGAGAGGAGACGGCTCACGGCGTGGGTGAAATGCCCAGAGTAGAGGAGAGGCACAACCGAGTGTGGGTGCCGGTGAGACCCAGCCTTCTGACAGTCACAGGGGACCGAGCAGGGCAGGATGCAGTCAGGATGTCACTCTGGCCTTTAGGGTCATCTGAGCTCTTCCCAGATGTGCCTGTATGGACGCTTCCCACCCTCAGGCTGCCTACATTCCTGCTCCAAGGGGATCCAAAGGACAGGCACAGGCGGAGGTTAATGAGAGAGCCTATGAAGCTGTTGCAGGCTGTGGAGTTTCCATGCTTGGATCAGAGGCCAGGGGTTGCTGGGTGGAACCTGTGGGTCTGGCAGGGCCTTCTGGGTGGGGAAGGCATTGGGCACAGTCTTATCTGAAGCCACAGGGATTTCCTGGTAGGAATATCCCAGTTAAGGTCTGGGCAACCACACCAATTCTAGTTTTTAAACACTGTGAGTAGTGGTACAGGCTCTGCCTTTGGATCCTGGGCATAAGCCATATGCCACTTGTTCCCCTGGCACTTCCTCAGAGTGCTCAGGCTCAGGCTGCTGGCCAGAATGTGAGATGGGTTCTTCTAGAGAGCCAACTCCCCCTTGTTCAATTATCCCTGCCTGGATAATTGTGCTAAGTGGGGACACTGTCACAGGGTCTATCTCAAGGCAAGAGTGAGTGCTGGGACCTCAGAAGGAGATCCAGCAGGTGGTCGTGGCCCCATTGGGAACCTCCCCTAAAGGTTCTCACTAGGGCACTCTCTAGGTCAAGCCTAATGGGACCTAGCAACAACTCTTCTTGCTCCTTGGCCCTCTGCAGTCTCAGAGTGTGTCTGAGTAGAGTGATGATGTCTTTTGTCCCAGACTCTGTCCATTCTACTAAGTGCTGACTTTAGTCCTGGTGTCAGGGCCTCCCTCCCCTTGGCTTCCAGAGATTCCTAGAGGCAAGAACTATAAGAAGCTTAGCCTTCCTGAGAGGCCTTCTTTGTCCTCTGTGCCTTGGTTCCCAGGTAGCCTGGGCACCAGGAACTCTGTCCTGAGGTCTACCCATCACAACTTCTTAGGAGCTCTGTGGATCCCAGCTCCCCATAAGAACATAAGGAAGAGAAGGAGCTGCCTTGCCTACCTGATGCTATGGCCACATGACGCACAGGCCAGTGCTGATGCAATCCCCTTAAGAGTAATTCACAATGGAGGACCACAGCTACCAGGTCCCCAGCATGCTCTGTGTAGACAAGTGGCTAAGCTGTTAGCCCTTGTGACCATCCATGTTGAGATCAAGGTGAGAAAACTGATACCCATAGAGACAGAGGATGTTGTTCAAGGACATAAGCTCTGACCCCAAACCTGGCAACTAACTTGTCTCCAACTACCTTGCCTCCTCCATAAGCTGGCCTCCTGCCCTGGGCTTCAGGATTATTTCAGGTACAACTCAGCAGATGTTCCAGGCAGTTTGTTCAGCTGCAGCAAAGGGCCCGCAAAGGGATCACGTTTCAAAACTAATCAATCCACAGAACCCAAGTCAGTATACAGCCATGTGACACTGTTGATATCAACTGCCCTGTCAGTGGTAGGTGTGGTGGCAAGACAGGAGGATGGCTGTGAGTTTAAGGCCAGCCTGAACTACACAGTTGGCTCCAGGCCAGCTTGGGCTACAGGGTCAAACCTGTTTTCAAACAAGAATCCTACCCAGACTAGGCCTTGTAACCACTAGCCAATCTTCTGGTGAAGTTTCTGGTTTTTAACGGTTTGGTTGGTATAAGCTCTCATGCTGTCCAAGGACTTACTTAAAGAAATGGCTTTGCTAGCGGGTGAGTGGACCCAGGCACCGTGTGTCCTGAGCCAGCCCCTGCTGGTCTGATGGGGAGCTCGAGCATGGAATGGACAGTGCACCCTGCTCCGTTTGCTCTTACCTGATGTACGGCACATTTGCAGGAACGTGGAACTTGGACCCTGGGTCAAAGTCACCTTGAGATCTGGGCACTGGAGGGCAGAGACCCTGATACTTCAGTCTGTCAAACGGGAAGATATGTTAGAGGGTGAGTTTGGGGAGAACCACGTTGAGAGAGGGCTGGCATTTTTTTAAGTGAAGAATTGTCCCTGCACCAGAATGCCCTCTCTTCCTGCATGCTGTGTTCCTGGGTACAACCACCTGGGGGGGGGGGCGGAATATGGCTTATGCATGCACGCACACAGACATACACTTCACTGGCTCATCTGCAGACACACAAGCACGTGCAGACACTCTCAGAAACCCACTCCCACCCACACCCCCACCAGAGTGTTCTAGAACCTGAGGCTCCACCACTCTTGGTTGTAGTTGTCCTTGGTGATGCTTCCATCAAAGACCCTCCAGCGCCACTGGTCGATGAGGTAGCTGAAGGGGATAAAGGCGATCTTGTCGAGGGCCATCTTCATTAGGAAGTTGATGTCATGCTCTGCCAAGGGAAGAGCATGCAGTCTCAGGTCCATGCTGGCTTCTTGTCGGGGGCCTAGCAGCTCAGGCCCAGGGAGGGGAGGGGAGCAAGGTGTTCAATTTCTCCATCCCTAAAACTTGCCTCTTGGGATGACCTGTGTGTTACCTTGTCAGGTTCATCCCGCTGGGGCCTCTTGCCTTTCTACCGGTCTATCTCAGATCTTTGCCCGGGGGCACCTCTTCCCCCACCTCAGAAGTATGTTACCCCTTCTGGGTCCCCAGCCCACCCACCAGCACCTCTACCCTCTCACCGTAACCACTGCCCTCACTACTGAGCAGGTTGAGACTGTAGAGATGTTTCGGGGTAGACACTGACAGAGCCAGCACATCTCCAATAGCCTCATGAAAGCCAGGGTTGGCACCCTCCCGAAAGGCCACAGGCAAGTCTTTGTACTGCATGAAATATTGGATGTGGCCCATTTCATGGTGGGCAATCACCAACTCCTCCATGTTCACAGAGGTACACTGCTTGATCCTAGGAACAGGGGTGGGGAGAACTCGTGTCAGAATGACAAAGGAGCAAAGGGACCATGGTGCATGCGTCATATGAGGCGGACCTTCTCCCCAGGGATGCAAGGAGCATGGCATGATGAGAAGGAGGAATCACGAGGTAGCCTGGGGGCCAGAAGTCTCTAAAGGTCATTGCGGCCATCCCTCTGCCCCTAACTTTCCTGAATAACTCCAATCCACACTGACTATGGCTTTCTGACTTGGTCTAAAGGCAGAGACGCTCCATCTGTACTGGGTAGAATGTGTGCCCAGTGCTTTCTACGCACTTGTCTCTTTCTTCCAGGACTGGGGCTTCCTGGGGAACACCTGGGCCGGGCCACGCTGCATCTCATTTAATCCAAAACCAGTCAGTAGATTCACTTGAGGAATGGCCTGGACTGAATCACAGCTGCAGAGCCATCTAAGCCAGAAGGCTGTGCCTCTTTGTGTGGCCTTTACCCTTTTCTACAAGCCAGTTCCAATGACAGGAACTTTCTCCTGGGATCTAAACAGTCTTTCAGTGCAGGTTTACCTCCTATTTCTTTCTCATGCATGGGGGGAGGGGGAGGAGCTGCCAAACATCCTTGACCCACTGAGGATGGTCTCTGCTTACCTTCTCTGACTCATCATAAAAAAGGATTCCCACAGGAATTCTCACATCTATGATTCCTGATCCACTTGTCAATCTACCTGGGCCTTACAGCTCCAAGCCCTCATGCCTTTGAAGGGCCAAGGCCAGGCAGTGTTCCCCCAAAGCCCCACCATGAACCCCAACTCGTTTGTTTCCTGGGTTTGTGTCTATGCCTCTTGTATGGGTGCTTCATCAGCTGGGAACAGCATTTCTGCCCCTTCCCAGACATAGTCATTGCTCTCTTCCTTCTAATCTGGGTTGTCCTTGGGATTTTTCAATAGAATATGGCAGATATGTAGGATTGAAAATGCCTGTGATCCTTGCACTTGGTAGCCCGAGGCAGGAGGATCACAAGTTCAAGGTCAGTCTAAGTTATATAGTGAGACCCTGTCTAAAAGAGGATGGCTGAGGTAGAAGGAATCCACAGTAGACAGGCCTCAGTGCCAGTTTTAAATTCAGCCATTGAGAAACCTGGCTTAATATATCTGCCAGCCAGAGACTGTCACAATAGGAAGGAACCCAAGCCAGCTTGTAACAAAAAGATGCCTGATCAACCCCAAGCTGCTCTGACCATCCTAACCAGCTACTCAGTGTGAAAGGCCACCTTGAACACCCCACCCTTGACACTATACGTGGGAAAAAACTGAGGAACTCCAGCCAACAGCCAAAATGAGGTCCTGGATAAATGGCTCCAGATGAGCCATTGAAATCACCCCAGCTGTGCCCAGGGGGTAACTCAGTGACATAGTGCATTCCTAGAAAGTACAAAGCCCTGGGAGTCACTCTCCTATGCCAATTGATTAATTAAAATTTTAAGAGTTTATATATTCATGTGGTATGCACCTGACATGGTGTGCTTGTGGCCATTGGAGGACAATGTTTTTTGAAAGTCCATTCTCTCTCTCTACCATGTGAATCTGGAGGACCAGACTCATGTCATCAGACTTGCTGAGACATCTTGCTGGACCAATTAAAGTTCTGAAATACTCTGACTGAGATGTCTGTCACTGTGGTGTAAGGGCACTTTCACTATGCACTGTCTGAACTGGAACTTTGAGGATCAACTGGCCATTTTGTGTCACTAGATTTTTGGAGTGGTCCGTTAGACAGCTGTAGGTAAGTGGCCCCAACTTGACAAAGACAGTGCCTTGTCTGTTAGCGGTGACAGTGGGTCTTCCTATGTCCCAGTGGTGCACCCACGGGAAGGGCCAGCAAAATGCAAAAGAGGTTGAACGTTGGACATAGCTTATGTCAGGTCTGCAACCTTCAGCGTCCCACTGACCACTGACAGAGCTGGCCAGCACTTCTGGCTTTCATTTCTTAGGCAGAATTTCCCCACCTGGTTCTCATAACTAGGACCAAACCCACCTCCTGGACTCTCAGTCCTCCACTTCATCCCAAACTGTCCCCATCTGTCTTGCTCCAGTTGAGGGGACAGCCACAGAGCCTTCACTTGGCTCATACCCTTGTCCCTGTAGCTCAGGATATGGATCCCAGTTCTAACCAGACACACCTGAAGTCTTTGCCATTGTAGAAGTCCCAGGCTGAGGCATGGCACACTACCTCCCTTCCATCAGTTGGCTTCTCCAACATTGACTTGTTCCAGAACTCGGCGGACACAGGTAGCAGCCCCAGAGAGGTAAAAAAATCATCGGCTTCCTTAAATATCCTTCTGGGCGTCCATCCCTGGAAGCAGAGAGAGTTCTTTGCAAACTGAGGTCTCTGACAGACACAACCATGGCAGGAGAGAGCCACACTGGAGGGAGAGGGTTTCTGCCCTCCCATCTGGGGCCTGCCCTTCCTTGTTCCCTCAGAAGGCCCATGGAGGATGGCCTTGGCTTCACTGACCTGCTTTATCATGGCCTCCGTGGCATCCAAGTTGGGGGCTGAAGGGAAGGGTGCCACCAAGTCATAGATGTTGGACCAGGTCTGCGCCCACATGTTCCCTGGAGGCAAGTGGGGGAAAAGGTGGCAGAGAGGAAACACATAACTTTTTAGGCTCAGAGAAATCCTATAGGGAGAGGTGGGCCGATCCCAGTCCTGTCAATCAAGGTGGCATCTCTGGAGCATCAACTGTTTGCAAACTGCGCTGGGTATTTGATGTGCGTTGTCTCCTACCTATGTACCCAGCCCACAAGGTCATTTCCAATATGGGTTACAGGTACAAACCTTGCTGGTCATTAGGAATCAACAGAGTCTTCACTGCCCGTGAGCAGTGATGGAATCCACAGGAGACCCACAGTCCCTGGAGCATCGATACCCACATGACCACCACTTCCTAAGTGCCACCCCAAGCACACAGAGCAACTTGTAATCCTGCCTGCTCCCTGGCACTGAGCAGCAGAGGAACTTGAGTCTGGAAAGAGTTAAGTAATCCAAACAGGGCTCAAACTCCTAAGAGACTTGGTTGGATTTAAATGCCATCAGGTCACACTCTTGACCAGCCACCTTTACAGTGTTTCTTCTGTGTTCTCTGCAGTTGACATTATGCAAGTCACTAGTTACTCTGACGGAACCAACCACCACCTTTGGGAGAGGCTAATGTCCCAGAGTTGAGGGTCATTTAAGAGCCCAGTTCTCCAGGACTGGAGAGAGGAGGGGCATTCAGAATGACTAGAAGGTTCAAAACTCCATGTAGCGTCAGGAGTCTTTCATAGCTGAGGCCGAATGTTCCAGAGGGAGTCAGAGTGGCAGAGGGATGAGAAAGGAACAGGAGTGTTGGGGCGGGGGGGATACCTAAAGAATTCCCTCTTCTTTGATCACTGGAGATGAAATTCTAAGCCCCAGTCTGGATCCCTGGCCATCTGGAGCACGCTGCTTCCCTCCTGGACTCCCTGTTCTTGGTCACTGAGCTCATGTCTACTTAGTTATTCTTTGGACTATCCCAATGAGGAATGGAGGAGGACTAGATCTTGGGCTGCAGCAATGCTCCAGCTGCATGAGAATCAGGCCCATAGCAGGACCACCTTCTGGGGGGGGGTCTCCCAAATGACCTCTAAATGTGCTCTGTCTGGCTTTGCTAATCACACCACCACCAGGAAAGTGATGGCCTAATGGGGACGGAAAACTGGCGGCCTCTACTTCCCCCAGCCCTCTCCGTCTCTTCTGTCTTCCACTCCCTCCTTCATGCACCGAACACTATTTGAATATTTAAAGCTTTGGAAGGATAAGGGCCCCAAAGTTGAAGTGGATCTGAGCTCTCAGGGCTCCTCCTCTTTCCTGTCACACCTTGACCTAGACCCTGAGTCCTCTCTCCTTGCAACCCCATCCCTGACTTGGCATCTGTCAAAATCTCACAGGGAATTTCCTCAGACCCCACATCCAGACTCCCAGATCTGGCTGTCTCAAGGCATGATGGGCAATGTGGTCTAACCCTTAAAACATGGTGAAATGCTTGTATAACCTGACTCTGTGGCAAACATGGCACCAGAAGAGCTGAGGAGTGTGGCTCAGGGGTAAGAGCACTGGCCTGCCACATACAAGGCCCTGAGTTCAATCCTTAGTACCACAAAAGAAAAATATAAAAACATGTAGTAACTAAACATGAGCAGGAAGTTCCTCCAGCCCCTTTCCACTCCAACCCTGGCCATGCTCCCTCAAGGCTTCAAGTCCCGTCACTCTTCTGGCCTGCTCTCTGCCCTGTGGCCAGCACTACCCTGTCCCTTACTATTGTCCTTGAAGCTGGAGCAGTGTCCTTACCCAGCAGGTGGGCGGGAATGGGGCCATTCAGGTTGATGTGCTGGGACCCGTAGTGGCGGTGCAGGGAGCGGCGCACGTAGGCATGCAGGTTCAGGTAGAGTGGCTGCAGCTCCTGGTAGAGTTGTTCCAGGTCTTGCTCCAAGTTTTTAGACTCATATAATGATCTCCAGGAGGCCCCTCCATCAGCGTAGCCTGCACAGGAGACACAGCCAAGCTTTCCCAACAGCAATCATGCACTCAATACACCCCTGACACCTCTAGCGCCCTTCCTGTCCCTAGCCTAAGGGTCTCAGAGGACCTCTTTGAGGAGCTTGAGGGAACTGGGGAACAGACAGCCAGTGGTACCAGCACCGGGAACTCACCATTGAGGTGGGCGATCTTGTTGGAGAGCTCTACATACTTCGGGAAGAAGGGAAGGATGGCTCTCCCCACTTTGTCTTGCCAGCTCTTCCACACCCATAACAGCTCTTCATATTTCCGGGAAGTGGCCATCACATTTGTCAGATCTGGAAGGGAGGGGGTGGGTGGATGGCTTGAGCCTCGGTCTGTGGCTCACCTCTCATCTGTTGATACGTGGAACTTGCTCATGGAGTTTCAGAGTTGGAATAAAGCTGGTAAGATCACTTGGAAATGACAGTATAGGCAGTAAGTCTAGTGAGAGAGGAGAGAGCGAGGGAGCCAGTGGCCACTAGGAGCTCATAAGGTGCTGCACGCGCACACACACACACACACACACACACACACACACGACCTCAGACACTTGCAGGGGTTTGATAACTTTGAAAGGGATTTACTTGTTCCTTTCTTATAAGCAGCTTAATGACATGCTTGTGTACCCACGCAGGAGGCGGCCAGGCTGGAGCAAAAACAAAATGCTCTCCCATGAATTCCCCTTCCCTGGGAGAAAGGGTTTGGGAAGTTTCACAGGCCTGAATTCAAGTTCTATCCCTCTCATGAGAGTTACCTTGGGCAGGTCTCTTTCCATATCTACAAACAAGGGAGTAACCCTGGCCTTCCCAGGGACTTGGAAATGTCTGTCCCCAAGAAGGGGCTATGCCTTCTCATTGCTGTGGCCCTGGGAATCCACAACATCCTCTGCAAATCGTCACTGGACTCAAAGGAATAAAACAATAGCTGTAAGGATTGTGTGAGTACAAGAACTATGTGAGCTGCCCCTAACAAGGTGGACCCTGGCTTTAGGTCTCGTGAGGCCACTCTGTGTGAGACACCCCAGTAAGAATACAAAGCTGACATCCACCTCTCAGGCCAGGGTGAGGGCCACACAAGACTGCAGGCATCAGTCTTGGAACAGAGGCTTCTCCTCCTGCTCTGCCCTTGGCCTAGATAAGGGAGCCTTGGAGCATCCGAAACCCTTACTGTTGAACTTGGGCTCTATTCTGGAACATTCTGTGTCATATACGCTTGTCACAGAAAAGGTAAATTTAATTTAGCTTTCTTTGAAAAAGATTTGTTTTGAGAATTCTGTGTCTGTTTTCTGATGATGAAAGTCATCGGTCTTCATGGGCTTTTTATTTTAATTACCATGTCTATGACCAGATGGCCTAGTCCTGGATCAAAGGCCTGGATGGTAGGGATGCCAAATGCTACACTTTTTTTTTTGATATCCATATTTAGAAATATACACCCAGACATGCACACGTGTCCCAATTGTGCTTGCACGTACATACACATGCACGGAAGCACGTACATGTTCCCTCTTTGTGTGTGCCCACACCCACTACCTATGGGCCAGACCCTGCCCTGGAACTGTTTCTTGCTCCTGTTTATTTTCCATTTCCCCTTGTATTTGTCATTGTTCTGACACGGGAGCTAGGCTGGAGCCAGGAAGAAACAACTTCTGGTAACGATTCCTCACAAAGAATGCTTATGACTCTAGCTCACCAACCCTGGAAAGAGATATGTGTGTGGGTCCTGGGGGAGGGGTCAGAGTGAGCCTTTTCTAAGGAGACAGCCTGAAGAGAAATAAGCAGTGAGAGGTGGTTACGAGCCGGTCATGGCTGCCTGGCAGGAAGGTGCCGTGGAGGAAGGGATGGCGTGGGAATGCTATCAGCAGGGAACAGGAGGCCGAGTTCTCATTTAGTGCTTCTAGGGTGGTGGGACTCTTGAGTTGGTTTATCCTCTCTGGCCCCAGATTCTTTTTCAGCAATGTCCCAGTGGGGAGGGGTTCCAAGGAAGCCACAGAAGGTGGAGACACAGACTCAAAGGTCTGTAGCTCTCCTTTTTGGGGCCCGAGCCTTTAAAACACATGTTTGAGATTCTCCTGAGGGGCATGCAGAAAGGAAGGAGAGCGTTGGGGAGTTCTGGGCAGGGGGGATGCCCTAGAGGGGCAGAGAATTAGGGAAATGTTGAGGTGCTGGCTCCCATTGGAGGAAGTGAGTTAGGGAAGCCCATCTCCTCCTTCCCTTGACAGCATCCTCCTCCCTACCCGCCAGCCCCCCACCTCTCTCTCTTTCAGGGGTACTCTCACCAGGCTCCAACGGCAGACAAGTTCCATTTGCGTAGCAAACATCGGCTATGCTGTAAGTCGTCTCCATGTCCAGCAGGATCTGGTTGTACTGCAAGGGAGAGAAAGAGTAGTGAAGTACCCCCCACCCCACCCCTGCTCTGGCCTCAGGCAACATGGATGGGACTCAAGGGAGCATGTGCCCCAAAATGCTGTAGTCATGGGAATTCTGGAGACGTGTGGACATGGCCCATGTCAAGAAAGTAGCAATGGAGGCAGACCCACGATCTGGTTCACTTCCCAGCAGTCTCCACTCCCTGCTCCCCATGGCCACACACCTCTTCTAGCTCCTTGGAAGGCAACACTGCCCGGTCCATGTTCTGAACCTTCCTTATGATTCGCTTGGTGGTAGAGTTCTGGAAGTTGTTCACATCAAACTTCTTGGCCAAGGTACCATATTTCAGGGTGTAGTTGGCCACCTTCTTGTTTTTCTGAAGCTGAGGGCACAAGGGGGTGGTGTCACAGGCTCAGGAGATTTGGCATGGCCTCTGTGTAGGAGGTTCCATAAAGGTAGTGTCGAGGAGTGTGGTTTGATCAGGCCGATACCTTTGCCTATATGAATACCCTCCTCTTTAACCTGGGTCATCTGCTAATGTACTGGGTAAAGTATATGTTCCTCAACAGATAGCTGCAGTCTAGCAATATATATCCTGATAGCGTAGGGAAAGGAAGACCAGCCATTCCATAAATGTCATTAGGATGAAGGCAGGGTGCTATTAGATAGGAGACCCCCCCTCCCAAGCATTCAGGGGGGCATCTTTGAAGTACGAAGAATATCACTGTGTATAACTGCCTAAGGATGTATGCAGGAAGAGAAGTTGAGGTACTAAGGATCCATGGGCAGCACACAGTGTATCTTCAAGTAACATTAGCACCCTATGAGCTAGGGTTAGAGCACATGGCCGGAACTGGCTTCCTGTGCTATAATGTACACTCGATCACAGAGGAAGGAACAGGGTGCAGGGGAATGATCCCTCACAGTGCTGACAAACAGGCTGTCAATCTTTTAAAGAGGGATGCTGCTGTCATCACTTATTTACAGACAACGGATTTCAGTCTCTGGGAATGGTGACTAAGAATGGTATCAGACCAGAGAAATTTGCTCAGGTGTGGATCCAAAGCCACTAAATCCAAAATAGAGTGTTTTAAATATTCTGTTTAGACTTCTCACCAATTTTGGCAGCTTGGTGCTGTGTGTGTGTGTGTGTTCTGTGAGTGTGGCTGTGTTTGTGCACATGCTACATGTTGGAGTTGGTGGAAGTGGTTCCTACCAGGATCTTGCTGGCCTCTAGGGTAATGTTGGTGTTATAGTGCCAGTTGGCCTCTGCGTACTCGTTCCACAACACCTGGGCTGTCCGGTCATACTCCTCCACGAACCTGTTAGCCTCCTCTTCATCAGTCACTAGGTCTGTAGGAGGTGAGGAGGAAAATAGACAGGCCTTGCCTTCCTTGCCACAAAGTGTGGTTTCACTGGAGTTCCCTCTTGTTGTCCCCGGGCTGCTTGACCCCTCGTGGCCCTGCCCTTTTCCAAGAGTCCCACTTGGGTTCTGGGTTGTCTGGATGGTTGTCTGGAGAGTTGTTGTCTGGCTCCGGGTTGTTGGCTGATTTGTTATCCCCTGGCTGGTTGTCACGTGGTCAGTGGCCACCTGACTGAGGACCAGCAGGGGGTTCCCGTAGCAGAGGAGCAGAAAGAGGAAGCTGGGCAGTCCTGGAGTAGCCCAACCTTGGCCCATGGCCGCAGGAGAGCAGAGCCCTGCAGCCCCCACCACTGGCCAATAAGAGCTGAGTCTGCAGTGTGACCTCATAGAGCAATGTGCCAGCAAGACTGACCCCAGGGGCCCTCAGGCTTGGGCACAGCATCTCTAGGATGCTGGGAGAAAGACATGCCCATCTTTGCTGTAGGGCCCTGATGATGAGCCCAGGGGTGGGTTGGCATTGCGGCAAAGGATACCAGGGCTCAGCTGGAAGGAGCTGACCAGGAACCTGAGGTTTGGGCCCAGAGGCCAGGACTCCTCTTGGTCCCAGCCCACCCTCACTTAGGGCTTTACCAATGTTCTCTGGATAGTGGTCAGGTAACGGTGGGCGCCACTGATACTCTGGCCAGCCTAGGACTTCGCCATTCCGCTGATTCTGCTCCTGCAGCCACCGACTGACTGGTTGGAAGTACTCCAGCAGTGCCTGGGCATCCAGGGCATCTGAGCCCACCATATCCTTCAGCACCTCCTGCCAGGGCCTGGAGCCGCCAGCCTGCAGCACCTGCCTGCCAAGGAGAGTGAGCACTATAGGTGTGGGGGACACAGGCTGGGGTCCGCAACAGTGCTGCAGACCACCTGTCCTTAGGTGGTAAAAGAACTCTAGGACTAGGGTCTCTGTGAGAGTGGTAGGGGACATTCGCCTGGCCCCATGGTAGTTGAAGGCCAGCTCAATAAATATTTGATATAAAGAAGAGAAGGGGGGAAGAGGGAGGGAGAGAGCTGGGGGAGGAGAGGAAAGAGTTACTCCAGAGCAGTATAGCTTTGTGCTGTTCCAACCAGAACAGTCAGCTACCTGCAGAAATACTGTTCGCCAGCCTCTCCTCAGCATCAAGCTGTTTTTTCCTTTCTGCCACATACCGGAGCTTGGCCCCAGCCTGGGTAGACTGGTAGATGTCACACTGGTGTAGTGGGCCCTGGTGGCCTGCCTCCTTGCACAGTGCTTGATGGAACTGGAACTGTAGAATGAAGCTCACAAAATACCTGTAGGGACAGAGCAGGTGCTAGGAGGACTGTGGAGAGCGAGACAAAAGCCCCTTGTTCAGGCTCTATCCTGTGTTCGGCAGGGTGACAGCTGCACTAAGGGCTAGCAGTAGGAAGAAGGAAAAAAAATTGAGCATAGCCCAGGAGAAAGGGTCATTCTAATTCTCAGCCCTTGGGCCTGAAAGATGATGGAGCGGGAGGAACACACAGCCCTGGTACCTGATATACGGTGCCACATTTGGGATATGAAACTTGGCTCCGGCATCAAAATGGGTTTCATTCCGGACAACTGGAGGGCAGATCCCCTGATACTTGGTTCTAGAAGGGGATGTGTAAAATCTTAAGGCTCTAGGGACGCACAGGCTGCTTGAGATTTGCAGAAAAAATACGGGTTCCACCCGTAGCCTACCCCTCCCGCAGCATCCCTTCTACATCCTGGAAGATGGGGGAAACTTCCTGGAGGTAAGGTCTCAGCAGGAAGGGGGGAGGCAGTGGGGAGGGGGGCAGACATTGTTAAAAAGGAGGAGACAAGACTGGTGGAGGCTGGGGGTGCCCTGGGTTAGGCTTTTCCTATCTCTCTTCTCACCTAAGATACCACCAGTCGAAATTGTAGCGGGAGGGCGAGGTATGTCCACTGAAGACCCCCCAGCGCCACTGGTCCACCAAGTAGCCGAAGGGCAAGAAAGCAATTTTCTCTAGGGCCATCTTGAGCAAGTAATTGATGTCACTTTCTGTCCAGAAACAGGAAGACAGAGAAGGAAGGGGAAGGAAAGAGACCACCTAGGGTATAGTGGACCTGGGGGAGGGGAGGGCCATCCAGCAAGGAGGTGAGGCTGGACAGACAGAGGTGAGCCCCCAGTCCTTAGCTCTGCGTGGACAGGGACTCCGGGTGAGTGCTAAGCTCAGGGTGTATCTGGGGCCTCAAGTTAAAAATGACAAGGTGGCATGGGGGGACAGTAGAGATTCTGCTGTGGTAGAAAATTTGAATGGCTCGGGCTGGATCCTCTCCTGTCCCCAGCTCATACCCATGTCATTGGCGCCGTGGTCCAGCAGGCCGATTTTGTGCAGATGTGCAGGAGTGGAGACAGAGAGTGCCAGCACGTCCCCGATGGCCTCATGGAAGCCAGGGTTGGCACCTCTACGCAGGGGGAGAGTCAGGTCCTTGTACTGTAGGTAGTACTGCACGTGGCCCATCTCATGGTGCACCGTGGACAGCTGCTCCATCGTGACCCGTGTGCACTGCTTGATCCTGGAGCATGGGTAGGATGAGGACGAAGGTGAAGGAGAGGGCAGGGGCCAGAGCATTGGGGAGGTTGGGACTGGAGGAACATAGGGTTAAGGAGGGCTCTGTCCTGGGGTGAGGAGTACTTAGACACTAGCAACCCTTTGACCCTAGCCTGGCCTACCACCACTCAGGCCCTCCTCCATTCCAGGGTGCCCAGCTGATTGCTTCTCAAAGCTTCAGGGATGGTGAGCTAATGGGATGATGTGCACTACCGCCCTGGAGTAGAACAGTCCTCCAGTACAGAGGCAGGTCTGAGTCACAGCGGCCTCCTCCTTGGAGCCCCGCCCCCCCACTCCTCTTCCCGGGTCTAGACCTGAAGTCCTTCCTGTTATAGAAGTCCCAGGCTGAGGCGTGGCACACCACCTCCCGCCCGTCACTTGGCTTCTCCAGCATCGACTCTGCCCAGAACTCAGGAGGCATTGGTGAGAGCCCCAGCGAGGTGAAGAATTCCTCTGCTACCCGGAACATGTGTGTGGCATTCCAGCCCTGGGCAAGAGGTAGGGAAACAGGTTGGAGGCCAGCCACATGGGAGCCCCTGGGACTGCCTTGCGGGCAGGGCTTAGTGACCTCCACCCAGGGTAGCTTCTGGCCCAGGAGAGATACCTGAGGCTCAGTGGCCTCACTTCCCAGAGGTAGGGCACTACTGACCACAGCAGATCACTCTGCCACAGGACGAGACCCAAGGTCGCTCGCTGTTGACTGTTGTAGGAAAGGGGAGAGGTCACGCCTATCACATGACCCTTCCTACCCTTCTCCCCATCTCGTTGCCTTACCTGAAGCCTGACTCCAGAGCTTACCTTCTCCACCATGGTACTGGTGACATCGAGGTTGGGTTTGTCTGGGAAAGGCACTACCATGTCATACATGTTGTCCCAGCTCTGGGCCCACATGTCTCCTAAATGGAAGAAGCGAATGGGACAACTTGGGCTCCTGCCCAGCCATGCCAGTTTCCCATATATGTTGCCCTGGGTGGGTGCCAGCACCTGTACCCCCTAGGACCATAGGACAGCTCGCCTGACTTTCTCGAGGCTCCACAGGACTGGTTACTGGTTAGTGGTGCCATATCTGAATATGCCAGGATCCTTTGCCAAGGGGCCACAAGCTTCCAGGCTTCCAGGCTTGTGTCCTTGGATGTGATCTGCAAGTCGGCTGCCTCTTCCCTGAACCCGCAGCCAACGCCATTGGCTTGACCCCTACCTCCGCCCCATTCTAGTTCTCTGTTGGCTCTAAGTTCCTGGCTACCCTAAGCCTTGGTGTCCCCACAAAGGCTGCTGGGGACATTGAGTCACAGGGGCTTCTGCATAAGAAACAAAGGTCACGGCATTCCACACATTGGAGGTATCATGAGGACGAACCATCTTCCCTCTGCTGGGCATCCTCCTGCACCCCAAGTTCCCCTGGGCAGCAAGGTCCAGGGCCTTACCCAGCAGATGAGCAGGAATAGGCCCCCTGAGGTTGATATATTTGTCCCCATAGCGTCGATGCAGTGCTCGGCGGACGTAGGCATGGAGGTTCAGGTAGAGGGGCTCTAGTTGATGGTAGATGTGCTCCAGAGTCTCCACAAAGGAGGGGGAGTCATACAAGGAGCGCCAGTAAGCTCCCGTGTCCGAGAAGCCTAACAGAGTGGGAGAGAGCAGGTCAGGCCCAAGGCTTTGGTCCTCCACATCCTAGTTTTCTAGTTTTAACTCTGCTATCTTCCTGACTCCAAGCATGGGCTTGAGATTGATGCTCAAGTTGGCCTTGATTGAACTCAAGATCCTCCTGCCCCAGTCTCTTGAGTTCTGGGATTACAGTTGCGTGTGTGACACCCTCCCATCTTTCAGGCCTCTATAGCCCAGGCTGGCTTCAAACTCCTCACCCTCCTACTTCAGCCTTTCAAGTCCTGGGATTTACAGGCCTGGGTCACCATATCAAGGTCTATAATTTCTAAGCAGGGGCTGCTCTAGCCTCTAGCAAAATAGGTCCCTGAGCACAAAGGTGCAGAGAGTCTTAGGGTCGGGAGCAGTGCCACAAATGGTACCAGGAACAGCAGTAAGAAGGACAGGACAGCAAGGTACTTTGGCTATAGATTTCATGCCATTCCCACTAGCTCTGAGACCCCTTGGGTCAGCCCTGGAGCCACCATACTGGCTGCTTTGTCTAGCTCAGGGACTTGAGGCTCTGGGGACAACAGACAAGAGTGTCTTATAAGCGAGGAAAGAAAGGCTTGCTGTCCACGGAGGGGAAGACACAAGCTCACCGTCTGGGGACAACAGACAAGAGTGTCTTATAAGCGAGGAAAGAAAGGCTTGCTGTCCACGGAGTGGAAGACACAAGCTCACCGTCTTCTTTGTAGGCTTTGTTGCTGAGGGCGGTGAAGTCTTCGTAGAGGGGTTTCAGTGGGATGCCCACAACATCATGCCAGCTCTCCCAGGCGAACAGCAGCTTGGCATAACTTCGTGAGGAAGCCAGAATGTTGGTGAGCTCTGAGACAGGTGAGCAGGGTGAGTGAGGAAGCGTCTGTATTCAGTCCCTAACAGCCTTCACCAGAGGTGCACACTGGTCTTCATTCCCACCAGCTTCTTCTGTACCACAGTATCCCCAGACCAAGGACAGCCTCAGGGCTTGCTGGGGTGAGGCTATACAAAGAAAGCACCCGGCAGGACCCTGCACCCAGGAAAATGTCTAAGGTAGTGGACACAGAAAGGACATTTAGAAGTTGGAACAGGTGGACCCTCCATGGCTCATTGCATAGAATGGCTGACCTTGTGGTGAAGCCCCCAGGGACCCAACGCTTTGTGAGAGGCTTTTGGAGAAAGTGAGGGGACCCATTAAAAGGAGAGGTAGCTTAGTGGTGGAGGGGTGGAGCTAGAAGGTTCCTGAAGTAAGTCTGCCAAGAGAGAGAAGCAGTGTAGGCCAGGAGCATGGGTGCATCTGCACATTCCAGCCCCAATGGGGGACCAGCGCCTTTGATTTACTGACAAACAGCATCCTGTAGATGACCCAGAAGGACTAGGAAACCCCTGCAGAGATGGGATGGCCCCGTACCTGGGTCCAGGGACCAGCAGGTGGCAGTCTTGTTGGGGAAGCAGACCTTGCTGGTAGAGTAGATTCTGCTCATGTTGTTTAGCAGGGAGTTGTACTGCCAATTTGGAGTTGAGGAACTATTAGTAAGCAAACATTGGCCCCCGGAGTTAATCTGCCCACCCACCTCCCTTGGCTGGGAGGAAAAAGTGGCCTGGAGAGGGGATGTGACTCAGACAAGGTCACCCAGCAACTCTCGGCTCTTCCAATTGCCACTGCAATTGTGGAGGCAGCCTTTGCAAGTGGAACTGACCAGAGATCCAGGGATCTGAGACAAACACCAGCTTGGTACCTGCCCACAGTGAGGGTGAATCCCTGCTATTCTCTGGCCTTGGTGCGGTCTGTCTTCCCAACCTTTCTAATGAAGCCCATATACCAAGTCTGTCTAGAGAGAAATTTACTGGTGACTTTGTGTGTGTGTGTGTGTGTGTGTGTGTGTGTGTGTGTGTGTGTGTGTGAGAGAGAGAGAGAGAGAGAGAGAGAGAGAGAGAGAGAGAGAGAGAGAGAGAAACATCTCTCTTTGCATGTGTAATGTAATTCTGGGTATAAAGCCTCACACATGCTAGACTAGCAGTCTGGTAATTCAACTACATTCCAGCTCGTGAATTTGACTTTCTACTTCATAATATAAAGTAACTGTCACATCACACATCTAGAGGGAAAACCTGTGTACCTAGCAGCCGTCTGTTTCCCTCCAGATGCCTTACAGCCCTTCCTGTCTGCCAGGCTGCTTTCCCAACCCCCACAATAGGGCACTTGGGGCACTCAAGTTTCCACCCTCAGGCCTACCTGCTGCCGCCCGGCCAAGGGCAGGTTGGCAGGTCCTAGGGTGCGTATAGTTTCAATGGCCCTTCGCAGCTTTGAGTCAGTGAAGTTCTGCCAGATGGGGTCATATAGCTCCTTGGCCTTCTTGCCCCAGACCTCTGCAAACTCCTGCTTGATGAGTTCTGCTTCCTCCTGTGGTCACCAGGAGGGTGGGTGGAAAGAGTGGTCCAGCTCAGGCAGAGGCCATGTAGGAGAGGCTACGGTACTGAGAGAGCTAGGAAAGTGAAGGGCTTCCCGAACCCTTGGTCCTGCAGAGATTCTGTCCTGGAGATGAGCTTGCAGACGCACACCTCTCCTCCTGAGCCCTCTGGTTGGGAACTCTGGGAATCTGACTCAAGGGAACAATGAAGGAGAAAATTGGGGCCAGAATAAGGGGACAGTGAGTGGAAGGCCAGGAAAGGAACCTCAACAGGAGGTTGGGCAGCTGCCAGAAGGCAAGGGCTCTGGAGCCGAGCAGGGCACCCTATATGCCGACCACTGCTGCCCCAGCCCTGGACGCCTGCGCGCTGGGAGGATTTGGCCTTGGAGGAGCCAGCTTCATTCCATTCCATTCCTGTGTTGGCATGGATCACGTGCCCAACCCGTACAGGAGCATCACCGCCTGTCTGATGCGCAGGGAGGGTGGGAGTGTCTGGCCGGTGGCAGGGGACCCACTACTAGGGAACCTCACTGTTCAGGGCTGAGGCTGGGGGGCCCCTCGTGCCTGCTGCCCGCCCCGGGCGGCTGACCGCAGGCCTGTGATTGGCCGCTGCGCCCTGCCGTGCCCCGCCCCCGCCCGGGCCCTGGGCGCCCACCTGGAGCCGCTCATTCTCCTCGGTGATGTTGGTGTAGTATGCCCAGCTGGCTGCCATGCTCTGGAACATCACCTGCTCGGCACTCGAATTGTAGCTCTCCAGGAAGAGCTGCGCCCCTGCCTCATCCGCGGGAAAGTTGCCCGGCTGCAATTCAGGGTCGAGCGCAGCGGTGGGCGACAGCAGCAGCAGCAGCAGCAGCCGCAGCCACCACAGCAGCAAAAGAGGTGACGGCGGCCCCTGTCCCCGCTGGCCGGACGCGGCCCCCATAGCGCGGTGCGCGCGGTGCGGCGCTGCCCCTTCTCCCGCGCCGCGACCGCCCTGCGGATTATAAAACCCAGCCACCGCCGCCTCCCGACACACCCCCACCTCCCCGCCCCTCCGCGCTTCCTCCTCGGCTCCAAAGTCCCCAGCGACACGGGGCCCAGCTGAGCGGGGCCCGGGAGAGTCCCCAGCCGGCCCCGGGCAGGGGCGCCCAGACCCGGAGGGGTCCAGGAGCAGCCTCGGGTGGTGAGATGGGGCTAGGTCGGGCTCTTGCAGAGGAAGCTAGAAAGAGGTCCCTGCCCCTGCAAACACACTGCTGCCGCCCAGCCGTGCCCTCTGGCTGCCACCACGTATTCTCAGGCTATAGGGCCCGGCCGTCTCTGACTTCTCAAGGCTTCCCGGCTTAACCCTCCAAGCCTTTCCGGGCTCTTGAGTGACGAAGAGGCAGGGCTGGCTGGCTGGCTGGCTGGCGCTATGGGGATGATGGACTTGAGGTTGCCAGGTCCTGGAAGAAAGGGGTCGCTTGCCTGGGTGCCAGACAGGCGCCTTGGGTCGGTGCTGCGGATGTCAGCAGCCAGTTCACCTTGGGCTTGGGGTGAGGGACGTCTCGAAATAGAAGAACTGAGGGTCTGTTCTGTTCGACGAGGGGGAGCCATAGAGTGGGCCACAAGCGCGGGCACTCCTGCCCCCTACCCTTTGGCTACACAGCTGACAGTTTCAGCTCACAAGGACCATCATGCATTGTCCCAACAGAGCCCTAGACTTCACAGCTGCACGATGTGAGAGCTACAAAATGCCTTACAGATTATAACAACCCCCTGCTTTTTAAAAACGGAGAAATTACCAGAGACAGATTGGCTTCAAGTCACCTCAGGTCTCCACACTCCCAGTCATTTGTCTCCTCCACCTGTCCCTCAAAGTGACAAGCATGGAGGAAGGGGGATCACATCCTTTTGAGGCACTAGGAGGCTGTGAAGGCTAACCCCTCAGCACCAGGGCTGTGCCCCCAAAGAGGTGGGAAGACCTTTGTCCCTGGTAGATGGGGTGATGATGTGACCTGGAGACTCGGTGAGATTGTGCCAGCCTGTCAGGTGACATGCTAGAGGAGAGGCCCCAGAGGACTGATAGAGATGGAGAGAGAAGGTGGAGAGCAAGGGGCCACCTGGTGAGAACTAGGTGCGTATATCCCACCAGTGAGCTGCTGTCTTCTGGGGGAAGGAGCCTGAACTGGAGGAGGCTTGGGAGGGGATTCTGAGGGTGGTGCCTATGGCAGTCAGAAGTGGAGGCTGGGTAGACACAGGTAAGAGTCTGGGGCTGAGCCTGTACTCAGAAGCTCTTCTGTCTTTTCTGTCAGAAACGGAACTGAAAGCAAGAAGGGGAGAGGAAGACAGGGTGGGGCTGGGGCCCAACTTGTCTCGGAAGAGTTCCTGAGCACCCGGGCCAGGAGAGCAGAAGAACAGGCAGTTCGCTCTGCTGGCTCATTCTCAGGCCCAGCTGTGTGACAATGTGACATCGGCTATAGTCTTGGGTTAGGGACTGAGTTCAGGGGTGAGTAGCTCTGCCTTACAGAAAAACGACAAAAGCAAAGGTTAATTACTGTTATCAGGGATAGGTTGGAGTCATCACCCTCCTTCTCCCCCTGGGTGACATTTTATTACGAGCTGGTTGAAACACAGCTTCCACCACTACACCATACTTTCCAGGAGGGTAGAGACGAGGTCAGTCTGCCTTATTCCCTGTGACTTTCCCAGAACTTAGCACATACCTGTTACAAAGAGGGAGGCATGGAGATGTGAGGAAGGAATGACCAGCGTTCATGTTCACACCTCCGGATGGAAGCTCTACTACCCACAAGAGTAATCTATGAAGAGCCAAACCTCACCAATTTGGAACTTACAGTAATACAGACATTGCAACCTTGATATCCTGAAAAGTAAAAGTTAAAAATAGCTTTCTCTATTTTTAGGGTCTTACTCATGAGGGAGAGGAGAAATAAAAATATACCTTACATTTGTCTGGCATGTTGGATGTTTCTATACCCTTAATGTGTGAATGGTATAATTTGCCATTTATGATAACCTTAAGGTAGGGTGATTTGCCATTTATGATAACCTTGAGGTAGGGAAAAGGGAAGGTTCTCCACTGTCAGCTCCCTCCCCAGATGCCACTGAAACTGTGGAGGAGGCTCCCAATCCTGCAGGAAGATTTGATTCGGGTGGGCCCAGTGAGGAGCCCCGAAGACCCACCTGTGGAAGTACAGCCTGCTTGTTCAGGCAAGCGCTCATCTTTTAGATTCTTCCCAGTTACTAGTAACCACAGATAGAGGAAAATTAGCCCCTAAAGATGTCAACAAACCTAAGCATTGGTGGCATGCTCCTATAATCCCTGCACTTGGGAAACGGAGGTAGGAGAACCAAAAGTTGGAAGTCAGCCTGGGCTACATGAGTTCCAGGTCCATCTTGAACTATATAGGGAGACCCTTCTTCAAAAAAAAATAATAATAATGTGACAAAATCAATAGTAGAGGGGCTAGAGAGATGGCTCCATGATTGAGAAGAGCACTAGTTGCCCATGCAGAGGACCTAAGTTCCCATCACACACACTGGGTGGCTCCCAATGCCTGGAACTCCAGCTTCTGGGGGGGGGTGGGTCTGATGCCCTCTTCTGGCCTCTGTAGGTACTGCATGCATGTGGTGCACACACATACGCTCCTCTACATTAAAAAAAGAATAGAATTGGGAACTCAAAAATAAAACCTTACATTTATTTCTATTGCTTTTGTTGTCACTGTTTTGCAATATAACCCAATAAGCCATTTTAATGTCATCTGAGAGAGATGCAGGGTGATTTTGCCAACCAACCCTGGTTATGTTTGCTCCTTATAAAAAAGATCATATTCTTTTACAACAGGGGTTAGCCTTTGATTGTTCAGTAAGGTACAGCTTCAAACTAAGAGCAATTCTGCTCCCTCTATCCCCTAACTGCTGGGAGAATAGGTGTGTACAAACTACTATGTGGGGCGGTTGGTTTTTTTGGTCTTTTAATGGGTTTTGGGTCTGGGATAATTTTCATTGATTAGGGGGGTTGGTTACAAGTTGTTGTCAAGGGTTAGGAAAAAGGCTAAGCAAAGGAGATTAGATTTAAGGTTCTTATTTAAAAAAAAAAGAAAGAAAGAAAAGAAAAATGTAAATACTTTACATTGGATTGGATTGTTTTATATTGTATACAAATTATATATATTGAAATTGATATTGTTAGAAAATGTTATATATATTTTTCTAATTGTACCGTTCATCTAACAATGTAATGCAATTTTCTGATCCTTGAATGTTATTACCAACTATTAGGATATAAAGAAATGAAAGTTAGTAGTTAGATATTATAATAGAACTTGTAGTTATATTAGGTATGTTTTCAAGATTGAGTAGATATATTTTAGATAGACAGGTTATCTTCAAACCCTTCAGAGATCTACAGAATATGGCATTTAAAATGTTTTAATAACTTAGAAAATTTTTCTTTTTTGTTATGACTATGAGACATGTCGGCTCCTGGCAGTACCAATCTACTTCAGAGAAAATATGGGCATTGAAGAAACTGCATATGGAGTTAACTTTCATTGTGGCAAAAGTTAGCCACTGGACAACAAAGTATCCTCGAATCAACAGGACAAAATGGACAGACAGGACATAAAACAAAGGATTACTGATTCTTGCCAAAACAAGTGTGGTTATGGCTTTATCAAAAGGCATCTTCAGAGGCCAGGACAATATGGCACCATCCCTGAAGTGGCTTTTGCAATTCGAAAAAGGTACAGTGCCCTTTTCTTTGAAGGCAGCTGAACAGGCAGTGGGCCGATGGCCTCTGATGTGCAATGGAACAGCAGCTGAAACAGTTATTCTTGAAGAGTAACTAAGCTCACGCCTCTCAATAGTAGACTGGCATTTGATAGAGGGATATGGAGAAGAATGGGATGCTGAGATGAAGCCATATATACACAGCCAAGAAGAATGGACAGCTGAATTAAAAAACCATCAACAGGCCGGGCGGTGGTGGCGCACGCCTTTAATCCCAGCACTCGGGAGGCAGAGCCAGGCGGATCTCTGTGAGTTCGAGGCCAGCCTGGACTACCAAGTGAGTTCCAGGAAAGGCGCAAAGCTACACAGAGAAACCCTGTCTCGAAAAACAAAAAAAAAAAAAAAACAAAAAAAAAAAAAACAAAAAAAAAAACCCATCAACAATTTCCAGAATTTAAAATCCTGAATCATGACACGACACTAGTGGAATTCAGGTGTTTCTGGTACATGGACTACTCTCACTCAATGTGAGGTTGAACTGTTGACCTTGTGTACATCCTACTTCACAAATGAGTCTGTCAGATATGCTAAGCCTATAGGCTGAAGATGATGCCCCAGCACTTCGGAGAAACCTCAGGTGACTGTCCAGACAGCTGTCTGTTTCTGTCAACTCACAAATTTTTTGGAAGTTGCTTATGTGCACTTCCTGTTTTTATTTTTGTTAGCTAATATTATTTCCTTCTTGGGTCTCTGAGGGAGTTGAAGATTAGTTAGTTATAGTTGAAGGTTAGTTAGTTATAGTTGAAGATTAATTAGGATACATTTTGGACTTACCAAAATAGGATAGATAATGAAATTATTTTCTCTGAATTTGTCAAATACAAGTGGACTAGACATTGTTTAGGTATTTATTACTTGTATATATTGTATATAGTTATTGTCCTTTTGTATATAGTTTTTCTTATATTAGTTATAAGCTTTTTCTTTTTTTTCCTTTTTATTAAAATAGAAAAGGGGAAATATGGTGATATTTTATTTGTATTAAAATGTTATTTGTATGTTAATAAATAAAGTTGCCCGGGGGTCAGAGTTATTAGCAAGCCATAGGAAAGCAGGGCAGTGGTAGCGTACGCTTGTAATTCCAGCACTTGGTAGGCAGAGCTGGGTAAGTCTCTGTGTGTTCAGGGATACGGCCATTATTGGATACACATGCCTTTAATCTTAATACCAATCATGGAAAACCTGGAGGCCTATACAGACAGGCTGTGAGGAGGCAGTCATGTGGTTGGGTTTACAATCAATGAGAAGGCAGGACAGGAACTCTATATAAAGACTTTAACACAGGGGTAGCTCTGGTTTGGAGAGGTAGGACCACCGCAGGAGGAAGGGTAAGGTTTTAGCTCTTAGCTCTGACCTCTTGGCTTTCTTCTTTGCATTGGTTCTGTGTTTCTTATTTAATAAGAAGGTTGGATACATCTACACTACTATTCAGCTGTTCAACTGATTTTTTTTTTTTTTTTGAGCATGATGGTACACACCTTTAATCCCAGCACTGAGAAGGCAGAGGCAGTATCCCTGTGAGTTTGAGACTAGCCTGATCTTCAGAGATGAGAGATCCAGGATTGCCAGGACTAAATAGACCCTGTTTCAAAACAAAGCCATATATATGTGTGTGTGTGTGTGTGTGTGTGTGTGTGTGTGTGAATACTGGATCTCAGGAGCTAAGAAGGAAAGCCTGTTTTCAGCATAAATCATACTGTTTATATAAACAGTTTAGGAGCAACAAGCCCTGTTCAACTGATTTGCGTGTGTGGTGTATGTAGATGTAGCTGTAGTGTGTGTGCCATGCACACAGAGGCCTGTGATCAGTGTCTGCTGTTTCTCAGTTGAGCTCTACCTTATCTTTTGAGACAGGGTCTCTCACTGAACCTAGCGCTCGATTTGGCTAGACCGGCTGGCCAGCAAGCCCAGGAATCCTCCTGTCTCTGCCTTCTCAGCTCTGGGCTCCTGCTGCTATGCCCGGCTTTCCACACAGGTGCTAGGGTCCAAATTCAGCTCCTATTGCCTACATGGCAAGCACTTTTCTGACTGAGCCATCTCCCAGGCCCCTCCATTGAGTTTTTGAGGAGGATGTCAGGATAACTAAATGCAAGGGGGGAAAAAAACCCTATTTTTTTCTAAGACAGATGGATTGAGATCTTGAGGCCAGCCTCAAGCTAGACTACACAGAGAACAGTAAAAGTAGACATATAAATGTTAGCAAGAATATAGAGAAATTAGAAAATTACAATCCTTATATACTGTTGGAAAGATAGTAAAATGGGGTGGAGAAACATACACACACATACACACACACACACACACACACACACACACACACACACACACACACACAGATACAGATAGATAGCAGGAAGGATTGGAAACTGCCCATACAAAAGTTGTGCAGAAATGTTAATGGCAGTATATTTTATTCATAACACCAAAACATTGGAAACAATCCCAATGTCAGCCAATTAATGAAAGGATAATCAAAATGTATTCACACGACGCAGTATTCATTCCTCCAAGAAAGGAATAAAGGCTGATTCATGCTACAACATGAACGAACCCTGAAACACTATGCTAAGTGAAACAAAACAAAACAAAACCAGTCACAAAGACTGTATGGGAATCTGTGGACGTGAGCCGTCCAGAATAAGCAATCACTGAGCAGCAAGCCGGTTAGTGGTTTCCATGCCTGGGACAGGGGACAGCAGAATGACTGCCAAAAGGTGCAGATTTTCTTTTAGGATGACGAAAGCGTGCTAAAATTGGTAATAATGGTCGCACAACTCTGTAAATGGAAAAGCCACTCTATATACTTTAAGAGGGGAAATCTTATGATACGTGAATTCTATCTTGGTAAACTGTTAATTAAAGAAAAAATGCCCAGAGTGGGGTAGGTAAGGAACACTTACCTACCATGGGCAAGGCCCTGGGTTCCATCTCCAGGATTCTCATCCTACACCAAAGCCCAAAGGTTTAATTATAGCATCATGTGCTCATCAAGAAATCTGACTAGTGATTGGTTTTGACTCACAGAGTGCATACATACTCCCTTTTTCTTTGTTCAAACCTGCCACCCCTCAAGACCCAGCTCAGGTACTGCCTCTACCAGGGAGTAGCCCTTGATTTCCTGTCCCATATGGATCCCTCCTTCTAATTTATTCCATATCAGCTGTTTTTTTTTTTTTTTTTTTTTTTTTTTTTTTTTTTTTTTTTTGAGAGAAAGATAATCTGGCAGGCAGGCAGGTAGACTGACAGACTAACTTGCCACATTGCCCATGCTGGCCTCTAAATTGCAATTCTGCTTTAACCTCTACAGCAGCTGGTACTATAGGCATGTAGCACCATACCCTGCCAGTGGCTGCACCCTTACACGGGCACTATTGTGTGACTGTTTGGGGAGTTTATTTCTCTTCACATCAGAGAGAAAGGACAAAGACAGACCAAAGAAACAATTCTACCTGAGTCCAGTTTCATGAGCCAATGGATGTTTTGGGAGCACTTTAAGGAGCTTGGAGAACTTGTGGGCAGCTACAGCACCAGTCTCCTGTCAACAGTTATTAACTACTTCTATCCCTGGGAGGGAAGGGCCCTCCCGAGTCTTCTTAGTGTTCCAACCCCTTCCATGAGGCTAACCTCTAATGGGCACAATTGTGTGAACATCTGATGAGGCTGATCACAGCCTCTGTGATTCAAGATAGCAATGACTCATGCCGGGCGGTGGTGGCGCACGCCTTTAATCCCAGCACTCGGGAGGCAGAGCCAGGCGGATCTCTGTGAGTTCGAGGCCAGCCTGGGCTACCAAGTGAGTCCCAGGAAAGGCGCAAAGCTACACAGAGAAACCCTGTCTCGAAAAACCAAAAAAAAAAAAAAAAGATAGCAATGACTCTCTCCAACCTTGAGGAAACAGTCTAACAACACTCACCTAAAAGAAGGGTAAGGCAGCAACCTCAGACAGAGTAGGAAAAGTCAGGACCGCGCGCTCACACACACCTGAGGACCTTAGCCCAGCAACCACTGCTTCCCATGTGTGCAGTGATGGTGATAGTGTTTACCTGTCCTCTCTTTCAGGCTTGTGGGAAGATGGATGCAGGTCCTTCATCAGTTGTACAGCACCTCACAGAACCATCATGTTGAGAGGGTGTTCTGGCATGTGCCAGCAATCCCAGGACTCAGGAGGCAGATGCAGGATTGAAAAACAAAACACCACCAAAATATTATTAATATTGTCAAAAGCATCCATGGATGGCCCTCCCCTGCATGGTAGTGAGCTGGGAGAAGACTGGTGTC